CACTCGCCTTCAGTATCATTGCAGTTTAAGCGTTATAACTTACTGCACTCGGACTCAAAGCAGGAAAAAGAACGGAATGGTTTTTAGTCAGTAAGAGTTTGACGAAACAGGACGATGTGATTCGATGATTTTCCCCCCTCATAAACCCTCCTACATTCGTCCTAATTAAGACTTCAATGAAACAAAAACTAACGCATATATTCGCATTTATAATACTGTAGTTTCCAACTGCTCAAATTCAATATTTTTATCCAAATGTCAAAAACTTTATTTCTTGAAAATTTTCTTAAAAAAATATCTGGAATTTAGTTTATCGATCGACCAATGAATAAAAGTATAGTTATTTTTCATTTTTTTTTTGTATTGAAACGTTGAAACAATTTATTTTTGACCTAGGAAACTACCCAATTGTATGATTGAGAATCCTTGATAAGTTTACCTAAATGTGTGCTATGAAGGAAACAAATGTATCAAAAGGGAACAAATTTAAACGTGGCTTAAACTTTGCGATACTTTTAAAGGGAATCGTGCATAAAGGAGTTGAGGTTTGACTGTTTGGATTTATGAGCAAAACGAGTTTAGTAACATATTGTTTGTATACGAAACGATTCATTAAATTTTCACTAAGATTTTTAAGATGCTGTGGAAAAGCTTAGCATAGCGTGCTCTCATTTAATTCTCGAGGAGAAAGGCTAAGCTATTTTTTTTATGTGATAGGATGGCTATCGATCTTTCAAATAACCTGAAGGTAAAAAAAGGAGGAACCATGAGTGCATTGTCGACTTTTTGGAGATAAGTGTTTTGGAGATTAGGGTAGGGGAAGGGTTGGGGCTCCGGTAACCCTACTCACACGTCAAGACACATCGCTGTGGTTATTTCACGCCGGTTTTCTTAGAGACCGTGATATCACTCTTGTTGAGCCGACCTATTCACGCCGAAGCTTGGCTTGTTCGTTGTAAAAACCTTATACAAATTTTTCAGATAATCCGAAAGAGCTTATCCAGTTAATTCCGCTGTATCTTCATGAAAGTTAATTAACGTAGCCTGAATATTCTTGTAACATGACGAAACAACTCTTGTGACGTGACGTGACGTGACAAATACAGCCTCCTTTGTCTTACCATCATTTGTTTCAGCCAATTCAGGATTTATGTGAGAACGTTGTTTCGGAGTATTGTATTGATGTTTCAGGGATTATGCTCGTTCGTTATTGCGGAAAATGTTGTATGAAACGCAATTTTCAGGTATGCTATAATGATTTTATTGTAAATTGCGATTTTTCAGTTTAGTCTTTTGCGTCTGTTGATTTTGATTTTATAAAGTAGCTTCTCTAGCGCCATTTCAACCACTGCTCTGCTCCTATAGATATTAGCGTGATGTTTTATAGCCTATAGCCTTCCTCAATAAATGGACTAACGTACACAAAAAGAACTTGTTTATATCGCGTTCAGACAAACAAACTCTTCAGCTTTATAATGTTAACATAAGTATAGATTTATAATAATAATTATTATTGATCGCTCATTTACAAGTCTGGCTTGCGGTTACCTATATCAGATTTGGTTCTATAGGTTTTCTTTTATTTTTTACAAAATTTCCCGTCAATAACAACAATAAAATTGTATCGAATAAAAAGTCTAATGAAAATAATTTCTACAAACGAAACCCGAAGTCTACAGGGATCCTAATTATGCCTAATGTAATCCAATCAGCTAAACAGACGCTTTGCCCATCACCGGCCTTAAGGGAAAGCTCATTAACGCTCTGAGAGGGAATCTTAAATACGAAACAGCTGATTTAGTAATTAGTGGAATGCTGTAATCAATATTAAAATTTGCCCACAAACGTAGATATACATACATATAACTTCACGCCTACCTTTCATTAGTGTAAGTGTGTTAGAATACATATATTTATTATTATATTTATCTTTATTTTTACTGTAATTTTCATTTATTTATTGTCCTTTTAATTAAATTATACGGTGGCGCAGTGGTGTTTTAACTAGCTAGCGTGCAACGTGTAATCAGATCTAATTCCTACCAAAATAACTCTTTGTTTAAACCCACCTACAATACTTACAGAAGAATAATCGATAAAAAAAGTTGTAATGCAGATTCGTAACAGAAACAAAAGAAAATCTAAATAAGTTCCATAATTAGACAAAGAAGAAACGCTTAATATCTTAAGAGCATTACTATAATAAAAAAAAACGCAAATCGAACATTAAACTTATAATATCAGCTCAACATATCCCTAAAACCAATACACTACAAATCTACAATCTCAGTTCCTATCAGAATTTCAATTCATAGTATGCGAACTAGCTTATACATCAGAATAATCTGCAAAGCTATCATATCTCTAGCGCTAACCTAAAGCGCTTATCTACATAAAGAAACACCAGAGGTGTTGCGAATATCCATGATCAGCTATAATTGCTTACCATCAGGTAACCTGCTGACTTGCTCCTAAGTCCATTAAAAAAATCCTACTATCCTACTAATATTGTAAAGGTGAAATTTTGTAAGCACGGACGGATGTTTGTTACTCTCTCACTCAAAAACAACTGAATGGATCTGAATGAAATTTGGCACGGATATAGATTATAGTCTGGAATATTATATGGGGTACTTTTTAACCTAGTATTGTGGGCTAAGCTACTGAAAAAAACTAGTTATTTCGTAAGACTTCTTCATACACCAGGAACCCAGAAATCCAAAAACAAAACATCAACAAAAAGAGATCCGATACCACCCATAAAACTAGTATTGAATTCAAGTAATCTGAACATTCGTGATTGGGATTAATATCCTAGCAACCTTTTAATCCAATAACAAACTGGAATTGAATCAGTTTCAATTGAATTCTATGTAAACATTTGTTAGGCTTCCTATATATATAAATGTATATAACATATAACAGCCACGATTGTATGTACATATGTATCATATTAAAAGTTCACGGGATTACAGACTTCCTTTAATTTTGGCTTGGATCTGGATACCACAGTTCAGAAGATGTAGCTCGATGATGTAGGTATTTCGTTAGGCCTTCTTTCTCTTTTCTTCTCAAAAGATGAGCAAGTCACTTGCAACTCTTTGGGTGGGTAGTTTAAGGCGTTGCCAATTGTTTACCATCAATGATCTGCGGCTCGGTCTAAGTCAAGTGTCTCTTAGTTGGCCCTTACTGCAACTATGTATGAGAAGGCGTGCATTAAACGGAACGGCTTTTATGTAGGTATGCATTATGTTACACAGATTCTACCTACTAAAAAAGTCTTAAAGTTACGGTTCTCAGAGCAGGAGAAGGAACAGGGGGTTTTTAGTCAGTAAGAGTCTGACAGTCTCTCCTGCCCGACTCTGGGTGGGAGAAGGTTTACTATTATACTATTCTATTTTTTCCTTAATTATTTGGTCAGTGATTACACAGTCTAAAAAAAAATCGCTTTCTCTGTCCCTATATCCCTATGTATGCTTAAATCTTTAAAACTACGCAACGGATTTTGATGCGGTGTTTTAAATAGACGTGATAGAAGAGGAATATTTATATGTATAAAAATATACATTAAATATTGGAGAACTTTAGTATCAACATTGCATCCGTGCGAATCCGGGGCGGGCTGCTAGTTAGAAATAATGTTATACTTATGTATTGTGTATAGGTAAAATTAGCTTTGTATAGATGAGAGCGGGAAGACGGCGTTGCCATGGCAACGGAACAAATATGGTGGTCTATAATATTTCCATTGTGTCTGTTGTAGGGGGTTGCGGTTGTAGTCGTGTTTTTTTTCTGCGAGGTTGGGAGTATAAGGCGTTTTTTAAAATGCTCGACTGTACATTTTTTCTTATTCTCAGTTTAAAATTAAAATAGGTACAATTACATGCTTTGTGCCATGCTAGATTTTTTGAATTAGTTACGAAATTAGTAACTAATTTAAAAAACTGTACTTAAATCACTTTGGAGTCTCATATTAAATGAACTAATATTTAAGTATTGGAAAGCCATGCTCCGGCACGAATAGGTCAACTCGACCGGAGTGATACTACGGCCTCACTGAAAAACAACGTGAAATAACCACAGCGTTGTGTTTCGTCGTGTGAGTGTGGTTACCGGAGGCCTAATCCCTCCATTTCTTTCTAAAATATCTAAAACCCTTATCCGAAAAAAGGCATGCAGCGCACTCGTCATTCCTTTGGTGTTACGGGTTTTCACGGCGCTGACTGCTTACCATCAGGTAATCCGTCTGCACTTCCTTGCTATAAAAAATGAACTACAATTTTAAAATAGCAATACAATTCTGTACGTTCAAAATTAAGAAGGTATATAGATACTAGTGTACTAATATTTCTAAGAATAAATTGGTAGGTATGATATACACATAGCAATGGCCACCGAAGCCACACAAATTAGGATTGTTGAGGCTTAAAAGTTTCCGCAGCCGTGTTATGTACAGTTGGTTAGTTATTCGATCGTTTGTTAACAATGTTATTTACTACGGTATTAGCAAAGTTACGAGCAAAACACGTTACTTCCTTGTTTTAATATAAATTCTGTACCCACTAAATTATCAATTTAATGTTCAAAAAGTTTATAGAAGGTACCTACATTAAAATATTATAGTAAATTGAAATAATCAACCAAAATGAGTTCAAATTTAATAATGATTTATAGTGGATTTTAAAATAAGTTTATTTAATAACCGTGCGATTTTTATGAATAAGTAAAATTTAACGCCTATCAAAATTACGTGATTAAATTTACACAACCGGTATTGACTGCTAACAATTTTTATTCAGGCGCTTATTTTAAACAATTCATATTATTAATGAAAATAACTATACTTACAACAACATCTTACTTCCTAAACTATTTATATCACAATAATACAGCAGAAAACTTATTTTAATCTAAATATTTTGCTATGGTACATAATTTATGACGAGGGAATTTAAATACATAGCATGTTCTTCATTAAGAAGATCAGAGAGGTCTTAGTATTAAAAAGCCTTTGTTTTGATGTCTGTAATTTTAGTCTGCCCGTTGATTTCCCTTTTATTTTCAATTCCATTCAATGTCTTCTTTCTGTAAATGTAAAAGCAAATGGTTTTAAGTTAAATTAAAATAATGTGTTGTGTGTGTTTGTTCGCTTTTCGATGTTTTATTTTGTTATGTAGTGACTGGTGCTTTATTAATAGTATAACATGTCATTAATAATCCCCTTAAGGGTAGGCCGGTAGGCAGATTTATGCTCTCATAGTCCCATGACATAGGAGGTATTGCCATGATCATATTGCCATCATAAATTTGAGACAATAACAGACCCTCTTTTCAGTTATATTTTTGAAAAAAAAACCCAAACAAACCTCCTTATAATTTAGCCCGGCCTAGGAATTGAACCAGAAACCTCCTGCTCCTACGACAACGCTAGACACTCGTTGAAAAAAATAAAACTTTTCGAAAGTAACATTAGGTACTTTCAAAAAGAAAATTGTTAGTAAGAAATTACTTCAATAGAAACTCAATTCTTTGAAGATCTCTACTCAGATACTAAGGTAAAAAAACTAGGTACGTAAAAACTAAGGTAAAAAGATTTTCCGATTACAAAACTTTAGCTTTCAATAAAACTTTAGATTTTTCTGAGTTAGGTCCGTAACAAAACGAATGTCTTCCTTTTAGTTTTCTTCAGTTTTTAATCGATCACTTTCCTTGCTAATATTGTAATATTAACACATATTTGATATATTTTTAAAAGGCACTCTTTTAGTAAAAATTTATTAAAAATACATAAAACATAAATAATATGACCTTACATATTCCCCAAGCTGGAATGAGCTGTACACATGCAATGTGACAACCAATTCAATATTGAAACTCCATTCTCTTGTGACTTAAATTGCTTACCATCAGGTAATTCATTAGCTCACACACACATTCCTTTAATAACAAAATCTTTCCCATCCTAGCATTCAATTCTCAAATCTACAAAAAGAATTGAGCATTTATCAAAGACATACTATGCCGTCATACATATGTATTATGTATAATCGAGCGAACAACAAACTTAATCTGATCAATGATAAGTACCTAAATCATTATCATAATATGTATGTTTAGCAGTATTAATTATAGATTATAGACTACACTATACTCACGTAGGGATTAGAAGAAGATTAGCCAAGTTGCTAAGAGGAGATTCCACAAACAGCCAGAGAAGTACGGCTAGACCGGCCGATGTTATGAGAATACCTATTCCGTTTAATATCTGAAAATCAATTAGGAAGTTTGTAATATGCACGAGTTTGTAGAGAGACTAAAATCGTGTATTTGGTTGGTATTGCAGTTTTAGATTGATATGGTAATGGAGTTTGGTTTTCATGAACTACGTATTTACATGTGGTTATGGTTCATGGCAGTAAATTTGATGATGATATCGTGGTGGCCCGGAGTTTAAGGAGCCCGCTTCGCATGCATGAGGGTGTGGGTTCGAAGCCTGACAAGTACCAATGTGACTTTTTCCGAGTTATATGTACTTTCTATGATTATTTAGACACCACTGACATACAGTGAAGGTAAACAACGTGAGGAAACCTGGACTTATAGTTTCTAATTATAAGTTTGAAATTGCCAACCCGCATGAGCAAGCGTGGTGATTAATGCTCTAACGTTCTCCGTATGAGAAGAGGCCTTTGCTCAGCAGTGGGCACTTATAGGCTGATGATGATGATGAGTATTTAATCGTACTTTTTGGGTGTATCTGAGAAATCCTTCGACACGAATGGGCTTGATCCACTGGATATCACGGCTTCATAGAAAACCAACGTAGAAGAAGTTGCCATATTTTTTATGTCATAGGTCGGCAAACGAGCAGACGGATTACCTGATGGTAAGCAATCTGCGCCGCCCATGGACACTCGTAATAAGGATTTATTACACGTAATTTCCTGCGAGTTAATTTTTGTAGGTTGGTTGATTACCTAACTTCAAATAAAAACGGAATTTCAAATAAAAAAAAAGAAAATTAACTAATCAAACCACATTACCGCCTTTCCAAGAATCCGCAGGCTAAATGAACCTTGGATTCTGCGAAACATACAAATGAAATTGAAAAACTAAGTTTTGTTTGTTTACGAAGCGTTTCTTTGTAATGTGCTTGGGTTCCGGCAACATACACGGCTACATACAACGCAAGAATTGTTTCACGCCGGTGTACCGTGAAGCCGTGGTATCACTTAGGTTAAGTAGGCCTAATTGTGCCGAAGTATGGCTCTCCCACACTTAGAATGAGTAAAATTATGATGTTATTATAAAATACCATCAGTTATTCAATTTTCGCTTATAAATCAACGTATATATGTTAAACATGTTCAAAAATATGATGGAAGGCCACCTCCACATGGAGAAGGTTTTGAGCATTAATTGTCCCGCCTGCTCAAGGAAGATTGGCAAGTCCAGGTTTCCTCACGATGTTTGCCTTCACCGTATGTCAATAGTGTCTAAATAATCATCATAATAACTCAGAAAAACTCAGAAGTTTACGTGTTTATACTTATACGTACCAAGTTAAACATATCGTAATGCATGGGATTGCGTTGAGAGAACAAAAATCTCTCCAGTATGAGTGAATGAGTGATGTAGACCCCATAAGCCAGGCGACTGAAGATTGTGAAGCCAGGCCAAGACATGAACCTTCGAAGCATTTCTGGAAGATAAGAAATACATCAATGAAAAATTACTACAGATAGGTTAAACAGCAATCACTCATCTTTTATTTGGAATCCTAAATCAAGAAAAGTACTTATTATTAAGTTTACCAGTGCGTTGTAGGCATTGTGGGGGTTGTAAAAGATTTGAAATTTGGGAAGGGGAGAGAAAAGACTGAAGTTTCGGAAACCTCACTCACACGATGGAATACTGTAAGTATAGAGGCCGTGGTATTATTTTAGTCAGGCCCTATACCTGCCGAAGTATGGCTCTTCCACACACCATTTAAGACAGTATACAACTGGTGGAAAGTACCATAAGCATCTAGTACAATTTAATCACAACACATTGCTATGGAATTTTCATTTATTGCAAAACTGTGTATCCTAGAAATGGTGTTCTCGATTTCCAATCAAATATATCACATATATGTATGTATGTACTATCGCTCGGCTGTTTGCAATAACTGATCATATTACTTCTCCATCATCTGTTCATATGTTTTGTATATGTGAATATTTGATCCGAATTTTGAACTATGTTGGTGATACGACTTTAATATCTATCAAGAAATTGTCAATATGGATTTGTGGCTAGAGTGTTGTAGCTGGTATCTGAGATTCAATATTAAATCGTAAATGATATATATATGTATAATTAAAAGCGTTATCAGCGGTTTCCTCTGCTCACTTTAGTAATAAAAGCGAAACTATGTAAGTCGGGTTTCGTCGTTTGGAACTTTAGATTTGTGGCAACATAGAAGACCCATGAAAATATTTGAATGATTTCAGTCTTGCCTCAGTTAGTTGGTAGGCACGAGACCATGATAATCGTGTATTGAAGATAATCTTGAAGCCATGGCTATACCTACACCTTTACATCCAAGTCATAGCTACGTATGATTGAACTCTTTGCACCGTTATTGTCAATATGGCTCTCCTTACAATATATTAATATTTTCACAAACAATTTTCTAGTAAGGCCATGACATTAGGAGCTCAAAATGTAATTTTATCCAAGAACAAAAAATATAGGACTTGAAAGAGAGCAAAAACATACTAAACCGTGTTTGTAAAAGGCACCTCAGTAATATTTCGTTGAAAATATTTCATCAGAACAAGACGGAGTGGAATTTGATGAAACTGTAACGGACATATCTTGGAACAGAAATGAAAATGTAATACCGGTATTTTGACGGAGGAAAACTAAGGGTCCTCCCGGGAAATTAGAAAAAAAAGGGAGCCATGTTGAACATGCCTCAAGCATGAGATCATCGGTACATTTAGTTCAGAGGGATTAAAAGGGAGGTTATCAACTCATTTCCTGGTATCCCATTTTCATAATTCACTGCGTACAAAGATTTATAGCCGTTTTTATTTAATATTACTTTTTTTTCTCCTTGCGCTAATGGTATCACAATTGAATATCAAAAAGAAATATTTTTATCACAATAGTTTTTGTGGCACTTCTTATAGTGAGAGTCGAAGATTGTTTTGCAGTTTGATTTTGTGCGATAAATACAATTTTTCAATACTGTATTGTATTGTTTGCTGCTTTGGCTTCAAGAGAGAGCAAATGAAAAGATACTTCTTGCTTCAATTTGTTTTATGTTTAGTGATAATACATTTTTCTCACGTTTCAACGTTTGAACTGACTTCATCGATTTGTACACGAAGTTTAAATTCAATCGAGAACGAGGCTACCTATAATGAAAATTTCACCGTAATGATTATTTATTTGAGAGCACATTTCGGCCCACTGCCACTCATGTATACTTACATTCCTATAGAATCGCTTTTCAGCGAATTTTACGAATATAAAGGTACATAAAATACTTCATGTCTTATACATAAGATTTATATATTTTTTATTTTTATATTATGTGAGTTTGCTTTCAATACTGAATTTTTTTTAAATTTAAACTTATGTGTAATAAATATGACTGGTTAAAAGTACTGTCTGGTTCAATTCCAAATTCAAATATCTTGTTTTTCATTTCCAAAGGTGTATCTTAGTAAATGTTTTTTGGAAAGATAAATCAGATATGTTCGTAGTTATGAAAAAAAGCGGTCAGTCGGTATGTAGAATGACGGACCCATTAAAAGTATTATCATCTAGATAAAAGTTTAATCTTACAGATGTAACATCGTAAAACTTTGTCTCTCATATTTTTGAAGAATGGTAGACTTTCTCTAAAGAATCGTTCACCAGAACTTTAAATACTTTTGCTTAGTTATTACTGCCTTTGTTCATAAAATTAGACATCCAATAGTATCTCAGATTGCTTTAATTTCCTCCAATACTCAATAGCTATTACAGACGGATATTGTAATTATTCAAGCGAAATCGATAGTTTACTTTGTAACTATTAACGTTTCAGCATAACTTGGGAATTCTATTATTAGAACTAATATAGGAATATATACTTAATTAATGATATTTGTTATACCAGTATTACGCCCCAATTTCAATTTAGAACTACGTTGCACGTTGACTTAGATTAAGTAAGTTTATGTTTTTTTTTGAATTTACAAAAGCGTTTGATACACTAAACTAGTAATTTTTTTGTATATAAATAAATAAAATTGTACTTACGAACATCTCCGTACTCTGTAATGCCTATACAAACACATGTTGCCAAAGCCCATAAGTTTCTGTTGAGTGCCGCATAGATTGCCGAGCTCCAAGCGTTGTATTCCCCAAGGCACCATGCTGGGGCCGCCGATAGTACTTTCAGACCCAGCATAAAAGCTGCCGCGAGACCTAAGTACGAACATTCCTGGGAAAAAAGATACAAACTTAGATATACTGCCTTAAGATTGCTAGTTATCGCTAGTGCAAAAAGGTAAACGTAAAATAAAGTTATAGGTATTTTAGATATCGTACAGCATAGAAACTTTTAGAGATTTGTATATACAACGAGAAACCCAATTTTCAAATATAGTACGCAATTATTCCTGATCGTATTGTTGCACTGAAAAATTTTCTATAACTTCTATTAAACATTTCAAAGATAGTTCATCACATCTATGCAACAAATATAGACTCACCTTGGAAATAACTCCTCTATACTTAGTAGGTCTGTATACGGTAATGATGTACCCCATAGCCATGCCAAGGAAGTAGGATCCAGCTCTATGGTGGCTCTTCATGTATGTATCAGTATACACTACATTATCCCTCACATGGATAAGTTTTCTAAAACCGTGAATAAAATTAGTTTCCTAAGAAAACATATTATACTCAGTTGTTTTAGCATAGTTTGATCAGAAAAAATTAGAATCCGAATTCGAAAAGTTTATTGGTTGTCTGTTAGTAGCTGAGTTCTTAGAAATAGTGTGTTGACAAAATATTTAAATAATAACAGAACTGTATAAAACATTTTGATCGAAAAATTTATAACTCACAAAGTTCAATATCATAGAAATGTGAAACAAAACAGTCAATAATACAATCAAACCTCTTGAATATTCATCACATCGTGTGCAGTAAAATAAAGAAACAAATTGATCCCGTATACAAGAGGAGTTACATTTTATTACATTGAAAATCTGAATAAACGGACATGAACAGATAACATCGTGAAAAAAAGTGAAAATAAAAATATAAAAAAAAACTCAAAGCTCGTAAAATATTTTCATGTAAGTATTTCGCGGAAACAGATATTCTGATTTTAGTACCTACAGACTTTGAAAAAATGTTTCGATGCATACCCTACTCTAATATGATTTGAAAATTCTGTTAAAGCTAAAATCAAATGGGAACATCAATCTACTTTATTCGATTTTCAAATCCAATGTACTGTGTATCATGGAGGTATTTCAATGTATTTAATTAAATCCTTGATTCTATTGAAATTATCAGTCCCTTTTACATTATATGTTATAAATTTAGCTTAATTGCTAATTAGTTACGTGTTTCTAAGAAACAAAGTATTATGTCGTTTATGGAATATGCTTGTAAACATGACAGTAGAAAAGCTTTCGAGGAACAAATACATCTTTTTTCTATTTATTTAAACATAATTATAGACCACACATATTAGATTTTTTTCGGTGTCGTTGGTAAACAAACATATTTAAAAACAAATCCGAAGCAACGTTTAATGGATTAAACAAAGTGATTTTCCTTGAATCGAGTCCTGATCACGTTTCACATACTTAATTAGCAAAAAAAACTCCTTAACGGTCAGTTTTACTTTATTACATTTTACATTTCGATTTTTCTTAATGGAGGAGGTGAGAGTATTAATAAACCACGTTTGATCAAGGCAGAAATTGGAGAGAATTATGTCCAGCAGTGGACGGAAACAGGCTGATGAAATGAATTATAGATATTTTTTATCACTTGTGAGCAAGAATATACTATATAAAAAGTAAAAGTCATAATAAAACGATAAATAAAAATACTTACTCAACATCATACAATAGTATACCAGGCAATCTTTTGGTGTAAGTAGTGATGCCGGTGATAACCATGGACAAAGTAACGGTAATTATGGTGGTGATCTTGCCGATTCGCCTGTTCCATTGCCAGAGACAAAATAGGGCGGTGCCCATGACTGCCAAGTGATAATCTGCTGGTATGTACCAGGATACTTGTTGACACTGGAATATAATAAATTAATAAGTTGGTAAAATTTCATACCATATAAGTAGACTGTACAGTTGAGATTGTGGCCGGGTAGCCTGCTGTCGTGCTAATTTTTGGTTCCCGCACGAATAACGGTGAAAATATTGATTATGACCATTATAATGCTTGAAATGTTATGTCATAAAAACTGTTTCATGAAGAAATATGATAACAAATTCAAACGATCTAAAAGATAAAATATCTATCTATCTCATATAAATCTTAGGTTTTTTCTTACAGAAATATATTACGTTGTACAAAACTGACATCAATAAATCAATGCCAGATTAATAAATTGTATTACAATTCAACTTACAATATTATCACTGTCCACGTAGTTGCCAAGCATCAGCAGACCAACGAGCCAGGACTTAGCACAAGCCTTTTGCTCTCTCCCAATTATTCTCTTCCAAATCGGCCCATCACCAACATACTCTGATACCGCCAGCGTATAGAATATAAGGACGGAGAAAGACCCTATTAATCTGGAAAGCAGAAATGTTTAAAATTATTTTAGGTATAATAAAACACATTCTCTTAAGATTCGTTCTGATGTTTTTAAATGACTAAACACGCTGCATCAATATTGACCATTTGTAAATTCATTTTCTGGCTCCAAATGGAAAAACAAGATATCTCGCGATTATCAACTTCGTAGTTTCAATAATGATGGCTTACCTAACATAACGTTGTATTAGAGTAATAATAGGATTCCGTTTCTTCTCCATTAAACCTTTCATAAGAAGTAATCCAGATATGACGAAGAAGTTCTCCACAGCTGGTAGATCTATATGCTGGAAGGTATTCCCGAATGTGTTGTCTTTCACACTTATTAACTGGAAAAGTAAAAATTGTTCGTCATTTTAGTAATATATTTTAATAAAAATTACCCTCTAACTTAGGAATGCATAATTATGAATATAGGAGTTCCTCTAGGAACAAAATTAGGTCCAAAATATTTACATACGAACTATGAACTCTCGTCTGTAAAGCAAGTAGTAGTACAGGTAAATATTATTAAAAAAAACTTACATTATCATAATCATGTCCATTGCTAATAGAGCCAGCGACAATAAATACGAAAACATGCACACAAGTTGTGAACGATACAGCCAAAGCCTTCGTAAAACTTAGTACTGGGATCTCATCATCGGTGATTTTGACAAATGATGACCAATTCCTTTTGAGACTGAATGAGTATGCTACTCTCCTTACTGAAAAAAAAAAATTAAAAATCAGTTTTTATTTTCTCTCTTTTCGCCGAAGGCCTAAGAATCAACTAAGAGATTGCATGTTTGACAAAGACTGGCCTTGAGAGCTTTCTGTTAAGTCTGGCATTTTTAATCTGCTGTCTTCATGCCTAAGATATTATGGGCAACCCTTCTTATGAAGAGGAAGCCCATTCTCAAATAAAGGACTGTTACAAGTGGTTGACGTGACGAAATAATAAAAATCATTAATATTTGAATTACCTGTCTCCAGTACAAAATCAGACTAACTAATGGACAAACTAAATTTTGTGCTTTATTTGCTGAATTAAGGTCTATTTGTAAGTGATTAGATTTGAATTTAAAATTCTAGGTTGAACCTTAACTACATTTATTTTGTGCCTATTTTAGAATCAAGGCTTTAATTTGTATTGTTCTAATATTTAAACTAAAGGCTTGCTGTGTAGGCCTATGTTTATATTGCAGATTTATGCCAAACATTGCTTAACCTGCGTCAAACTACATTGAGCCTACCTAAAATATTATAAAAATAAGGAAATGAATGATTCATCAATATTCATACAGCGTGGTGTACATAAAGTAATTATTTGTACAATAATCACATAGGCATATGGTAAATATTGTTGTCTGAGTAATTTTTATGAAATGGTAGAACTCACGTGTGGAGTCTGTGCTGTTGTACTCGAGATAAAAAGATGAGGCAATCGTAGCGATGATTAGGCTGATTATTGTAAATCTGGAAAGGGCAGTAAGGAATAATATTAAGAGATGTTTATTGCTAATGAAATAACAAATCCGATTAGAAAAAACAAAAGTAATTATAATGCAATTCAAATAAGTAATATAGGACGTTATTTGGCTAACACAATTTCTTCACATTCACATTGGGATATTAGAACGTTCGTTATAACAGACAAATTAATGGCAAAAATAAGGTTGAAATTTCCATGATAAAAACTTCAAGAAATACTTACATAAATAAATAGAACTTTAAACTATACACAGGCCTTTCTCCAGCCTTATCACAATAGTCCACTGAGATCTGAGGTTCTAAAGCAGTAATAGGGTTCACCAAGTATATAGTTTTGAGGATCTTGGAGACAGATCCATGGCTACATACTGCTGGTAGGCAAACACCCCAGGATAAGGTGTCAGCTTTCCTGCCTTCTTTGGATTTGACCTGGTAGAAGAAAAGACCTTAATAATAACAGAGGGTGATAGATTTGCAACAACAGAAATATTTGCAGATTTTTTAATAATTTCGAAAGGCTTCAAAATGAATAAAAAAAGGTTGTATAAGTGTTGCATCAGTTCTAAAGATATATAGTGTTATTAATTTAAGTCTCGTTTAAGCAAACGCGGAGGGTCACGTGATTTGTCGTGAATTTGTCGTGAATTTGTCGTGCATTGCAGCAGAAGACCGCATCATGACACGCGCAAAAATAATAATATAAACATTAAGAGCAATGAATAACGAACCACACGAACGAACCATATTTGCCGTGCCACAAACCGCGTGGACATAAACTAGGTCATACATGGAACTCATTAGGACATGTTTCAAACTTCTTACAATAAATGCACTAACTAGATGTACACACTATTAAATGTTTCATTTCCTAAATAATTAAAAACTCCTTACTACTGGTATATTAGACCAAGTTACTTACACTTAAAAATTCTTCAGTATTATCATGCTCATTAGCACTTCCATATTCTCTGTTGTCTTTATTAGTTACCTTGACGTCACTGAGACAGTATTGGGTCTCAATTTTAGGCTGACCGAAATTGGAAGGAGCTTTCAGACACTGATCGTAATTTCCCAGACTGTACTTCGAACCATAGAAACTGCCCACTGGGTGATGCATGGAATTCCATACTGGAACATAGGAATTTAACCAATGTTAATAAAAATTGGATTGACAACCCTTTCTTGTCAAACTCGGTTAAAAATTATAAATAAAAAATGGTTAGTCTTTGATTAAGTACGACTCGCAAACAACAAAAATCTCTACATCATTCTTCGTATTTTTGCGTAATCCTTAAGACTATATCCTTTTATATAAGCAGAGGATATCTTGTTTGCCGTTATATACTATTCTATTCCTGTATAGCTGTTGAATTCAAATCAAAATTAGTAATACGAGTAGCTCTACTTACTCCAAACTGCCCATACAGTGTAATTCTTCACCCCATTCAATATTTGTAGTGTTTGATCCAAACAAGGTTTCTCTTGTTCAGACCAGTCTAAATGTTTTAGACCATCTATAACGATGTCTACTTCTGTTTTTAAATTATTCTTTATATATTCTGCTTTTATATAACCTGAAAATGAATAATTAATTTATCAAAATATTTTAATTCCATTGTCATCAAAATTAAAGTGGAAATTTATTTAGTTTATATAATAATTTTGTACTATTATATTAAACATATTTTTTTCTGCAAACGTGTTGGTGCCATGTTCTTGGAATCCAAAACATAAAATAATATTGTTTAAATAAGTATATCAAATTGTAAAAATGTTTGAAGCTATGAAATTTATTCGGCAAACGTATTAATTTGAAAGTGTTCCAAGAATTTGTACTTTTACTAAACCTTTTTATGATAATACAAAAAATATTTGAAAATCGGTTCTTACCTAATACTTTTCAGATTTTCCTGATATGAAAATTATACCTACACAATGATTTCCTTGGCTCTGCCTCGACTTTGTAGTCAAATGAATCACTAAAACTACTTTACCTAACTCTTTAAATTACAAAACAGTCAATAAATATAACCTTAGCGATCAACAGGCCTATCGAATTCCATTTTTTTTCGAATCCAAGTACAAACTCTTGTTTGAAGTACCTACTTATGTACATACTTGTACATATGTACTATAAATATCGGAAAACCCAAGCAACTAGAATAATTATTTTTACCACACATTTGCATTGACGGTACCTATAAATATTATTATTACCTATATATAATAATTGTTATTATACTATCTATTATATTTCAATTACGTCAATGAGATCTAAATCTCCAATGAAAATTCTAGGAAAAATCCTTTATTAACACGTGATCAGACCAGTTCAAAAATGATGAATGTTATCATCATTTTTATGTAGTTATTACTGTTAAACTATTTAAAAGTAATTATAGTTTCATTACGTACAATTAATATAAGTTTTAATTTAATAAAATGTCAATATTTCTAATTGTTGCTTAAAAATATTTTTAAATTTAGAAAGAAGTAGGTCATTTAATTCCAAATTTAAATAAATCGAAACAAATTGAGTGCTAATTAAAAATTTGTACACATTTTTTTTATCAATAAAATAAAATAAAATAAATATTCATTACTTTGTTTCCAAGTACACCATAGAAATATTTAATTAATTAATATTTTATTAAAAAAAGGTAAAATAAAATAAAATAAAAATACTTACAAATAAACACTAAAAAGTATAAAACTGCGTACACCTTCATTTTAACACAGTTACTTAACCAACGTTAACCCACTAACTGTGTGATCTAACTCGCATTTAAATTGGAACTGAAATATTTACTAGTTCATCTTTTATTTATAAACCACACGCACAATTATATCAGTTAATAATTAAAATAATTTACAATTTTAAAAAAATATAGGAAAATCACCCAGTAAATTTCAAGTGACGTGAAAATTTTCTATTAAAGTATATTTCTTTTTTATAAGAATTATGGCAGTCACTTTTTATATGACAGTATTATTATTATATCAATTTTTAATATAACAGATTATGTTTATACTGGAAATGTGCTACTTCAAGGGTCAAGGGCTTGCACCAAACTAATTTTAAGACGCCTTTTATTTCCTTCTTAAGAGGTTCAAATTCACATCGACTGGATTTCCCAGTTCTGTGACGTTAGGAACAGAACCTGTTAAGGTTTTGGAAGATATTGCGGTTTTTTTGTCTCGAGAGACAGTTTTAAGGTTCGAAATCTTATTTAATACGTACCTTAAGGTTCAAGGTCTTTGGCAGAGATCGTTCAAGAACCAGTTGATGATTTGAGGCCATCCGTAAATTACGTCAAACTTTAAGCGGCTGTAGATGATTTTGTTTGACCAGGGCGCGGGTAGGGTCTTAAATATTACCTATGACGTCACATGGCCGCCATGAAGATTACCTATATATTTATTTTATATGGCATAGAATGGCAAATGACCAAACCTGATGGTTAGCGATTGACCTCGCTCTTGGACGATAAAAAGATCAGAGTTTAGGTAGAGTTTGCTGCTGGTCTTTTAGGAGTCGGGAATATTAGGTGTTGGGAATAAGAAATTGAAGATTTTGACTCAAATGCATTATTTTTTTTTCAAACACATATAGATGAATACACAATTAGTTGGAGTTAATGACAGTCAGATATTTTGGTGTTTTATAGTGTCAAACTATGATCTTGCTTATCGTCCGAAGAAATTGCTTCCATCGCCTCCTTCTTTGCTAGAACGACTGCTATGCAGAAGAAGCTGTCTTCCCGGTTCGTCTCGATTCACACAATCGCTCGAATTAAACCCGAGCGCGAGATGTCGTAAAATATGGTAGTCCATCTTATCAGCAGTAATCGCCGATTTTGTACTCCAAATAATAAATATGTAGAAATTTTACGCTAAAAGTTTTGTAAAGTGTTTAAATGTGTATTTTTGCGCGCCCATTAATAGGCAATAGGGCTATTTATTTGCACACAATGGTTTCATTCAAAAATCGACTTTAACTAACTATAAATAAAACAAAATATGCGTCGCATGAATATTTATGAGTAGGTAGCTAAACTATTAACTAAACGCAATGCCGTGTTTAAGACAAATACAAGAATTTTTTTTTTTCGAACAAATATTTAAGTTTTTCACGTTGTATGTACGCCAATGTAATATGAGTCCTGTGTGTTTATAATCAAAGTCGATTTTTGAATCACAACAAAGTTGGTTAGAATTTTAACTGGCTTTCTTTGAGAAGGGGTCAAAGTACAATATTATGGTAATTTTTTGTGTCTTGCATTTGATTCCCTGGTCGCGCAAAGTGTTTCTTAGTAGTAGTAGCATATAGTTTGAGATGGTACCCATGATATTGAGACTAGCCGGGGTCACGAGGGTTATGACCATGTCTTTACCTTGTGTCAGAAATTAGTACATATTGTCTAATATATTACTTTGGTCACAAAGTTTGTCCAATATCACCAATATTGGACGTATAAGGCTTAGGACACTTCCTCAGTGGGCAAATACCAAGCAATGGTTTGATACCCAGTTGAAAAAAAGTAATTAAAATGGTTAATTGTTTTTTTTTATCGTATATTTGTGTGTATACACATAATTTCCCTTACACATAGGTTGTACAGCGTGATAATAGCCTTACGCTAAGATCGCGCTGTACAGGACTAAATACCTAATCCTAAGTACTACTAGCTAACGTTATCCTACACTATCCTAGATAATCTAACACTTACAATATCCTATCCTAGATCCCCTAAGCCCAATAACCTATGTAGTCTAAGTTCTATCCTATATTTGCCTAGCGTACAATGCGTATAGGCTTGGTACTCTGTGGTATACTGTGATACAGACCAGCACTTCTACGCACCTACTACCAAGCCCTTAACCTAAGGCACGTACTATAGTGGTACACTGTGGTATGCTGTGATACAGACCTACTCTTCGTACGCGCCTAATGCCCTAGCCCTACAGTCCCTAGACCCTAGCCCTACTATACGTATTTATATATACTTATATAGATAGGTGCAGGATATCTGCCAACTGAGACCTATGATGGCAGACGGAATGTGGGTAGGAATGGGGTATGGTGGTGATGGTTTTCTCACTGCCTGTCGAGCAGACTCACACGACAGATCGGTTGATGGCTAAAGGTGTCTTGGCCACAGTGAGAGGTGGAGGAAGGGTAGTGAGTCAAAGTCGGAATCAACTTAATGACTCCTTTATTGCTTAATCTACATGATCTTATATACTAAACTTATCCTATGTACACACATACCACATTATGATTGTGTGCTATGCGTGTAATGTACCATCTCAGTGCTATATACCTTACGTGATTACGTGATGTTTTATTAGTTTTATATATTTAATAAGTAATATGTTTTCCTTATTTTAATCACGTAGGATTATCTCGCTGAAATGGCACGTTCATGTGTGAACATTCTGCCCTCTCCGAGGAACAGGCAACTCCATTTGATATAGTTCTATGGAGTCATCCTTGGCTGCGTCCTGGTTCTCCGGCTGCTTCCTGGGAGGCTTCAGTAGTTGGTTCGGCTGGCTGTAGATGGCGTTCCATGTAGATGGCTGGTTGTTGCCTTGATCTGGTGCACGTTGTGGGTGTGGCGGATCAGCTTTTGATGATTTAGGGTGTTGTCGAAGTCGATGTGTTCCTGTTTTCGTACACGTAACTATCCTGGGACCATAACAAACAACTATAATTATAATTGTCGTCAATATTATTGATGATACGCAGCTCACTAAGTATGTGTGAGATTGAATGTCCTTCCATATGTTATCGTTAAGTTCTATTTCCAATCCAGACTCTTCATTTATTAAGTGCTGATAAAAGTCATTGGAACTTTCTATTACAGCCTCCTTAGATATATTTAGTTTTTTACTTCGATTTGATATATATGTGTATATACTAAAATTTAGTTGTTTTGAAAAGGACTCTGCTACCTGAATTGATAACGTTCTCTTAGCAGCGAGTCTGTTGTTAACGGATTTTATGATACAATTGTCAGCGATTTTTATTACTCCTACGTCTTGAATGGTTATTTCTTCTCGCTTACTATCACAAACTATGGATATAGTGCTACTAGTTTTTGTTATAAACAACCATGAGTTTTGCATGCATAGCTGTTTCCAAATTATATTACTTGACATTTCAAAGATATGGGTAGGACATTTAGTGTTAGTTTGATTTTTGAATAATTGGTCAACGATGCAATTTTCATTTAATTGCATGTTTTTCACCACTCCAGGGAAGCAAAGAAACTGTTCGTGCCTTTGTATACACTCTTTGAATTCTTCGTGGTCCAGTTCGAAGTATAATTCATTATTGTAATCAATTGCTAAAAATGCTCTCGATACTTCTATGCTTTCGAACGTATTGTTCATATTCTTCTTAGGTACTGGTGTAACATGAATTAAAGTATACTTTGTAATATCTTTAATTGGAAAATAAGCGTGTACTTGTATGTGAGTCATATTCTCGACTATCCTTGTATCTAATAATAGTTCTTGGACTATTCTAATGTTGGATGGCATCTTCCTATTTGCGGAAAATATTAATTCACTAACATTTTTGGGTGGCAAGACACTATACACGCTAGCCTTTGTTAAGTATACTTCTAATAACCCATTGTAGTAGTTTAAAATTTCGTCAATGTAATTATTGGCTACTTGGAACGTTTGCAAAATCTGAATCTTTATATCATTGTGATTAGTTTTAATGTACCAATAGTCATAGCTATTTATGCGCTCTATTACTTGTGACAGTTTTGTTTGAAATCCTTCTAGTTTATGTCTTATTCTTTCTTCAGTACCATTTACTTGGGAAATAGCCGATATCATGATTTTAGTTTGGTGACTAGATGCTTCAATCAATTTTTGTTGGTTTGAGTTTAACGAATCTATGTCTCTGTATATCTCGTCATTTACACCAAACACTGAGGTTAAAAAATTCCCCAGCAAACCCCTTCTCCTTCGCGTTTCATGAAACTCTGTAAAATATTCTTTGATGCGTTCATATTTTGTCTTTTGCTCCAGTAAATGATGATAAAATTGATTACAATGTGTATCCGTCGTTGCAACGTCCGCCTTGTCACAAAGTTGCTTAAACTTGGATAATGCACTTTCTATCCTAATGTAATCCTCATTCAGTCGCTCTTTCTTATATACCGTCTCTATACGAAACATGCCTCGATCTATGTTTGCGGTTCCTATGTTTTCAACATAAAATCCTGGAGACAAATTCTTCACGGTATATGTCTGTGTAGCAATCATAGTACCGAACAATTGTAACATTATTAGTAAGCATAATAGCCATTTTGACGTGCCTCTACAAGACCTCGGACTCTTATTACTATAGCATGTAGTAATATTCGTATTAACTTTGGTTTGCGATTGATGACTCAGGTCCGCATTTATAGGCAACGGAATGAGCGTGTGTATCGACCGTTTCTGAATGGCGCCTGATGATTTTTTAAGAGTAACTACTCTAACTAAACCATCATTGCCTTTATGTATTTCCTTGACTTTCGCAAGTGGCCAATTGCTAGGATTAATATTATCTTCTTTCATAAGTACTAACGTTCCAATTGATATATTATTCTCCGTTGTTTTCCATTTGTATCTTTGTTGTAACTGTTGTAAATAATCACGAGTCCAACTTTTCCAGAAGTCTCTTTTCATTTTTTGAATATTTTTCCATCTATTTAACAAATCCGTATTAATGTTAGACAGTGGATCAGGTATTCCTACTGCTTCTCGTCCAATCAAAAAATGACTTGGTGTTAGCACTACATTATCATTTATGTCTTCACTTTGTGCACACAATGGTCTAGAATTTAAACAGGCTTCCGTTTGATATAAAAATGTAGATAATTCTTCGTAAGTTAATGTTTGGTCTCCTATTACCCTGTGTAAGTGGTGTTTCATTGATTTTACTCCTGCTTCCCAAATACCGCCGAAATGTGGCGACGATGGGGGAATAAAATGCCATTGCGTTCCCATAGCTGTCACACTGCTTTGAAATGTGTCTGATTGGGTTATTTCTAACAGCTCCTTGTATAAGAAATTAGCTGCTCCCACAAAGTTTGTAGCGTTATCGCTGTATATATGTGATACTGGGCCTCTTCTTGCCATAAACCGCCGTAATGCCGCTATGAAACTTTCTGTGGACAAGTCTCCTACTAATTCAAGGTGTATAGCTTTTGTCGCCAGACACACAAAAACTGCAATATATCCTTTGTACGATTTATGCCCTCTTCCTTTCATTGTTCTCACTTTTATGGGTCCTGCATAATCGACCCCAGTATGAGTAAACGGAAATGACTCTGTTACTCGGGCTCTCGGTAGTATCCCCATTTTTTGTTTACTTGCCGATGCTGTATATCGAATACATTTTACACATTTTCTTATGTAGCTCTTTACTACACGTTTCCCGCCAAGCACCCAATATTTTTGTCTTATATAGGCCAATGTTAACGTATTACCTCCATGTAATGTTGTCAAGTGAGCGTCATGAATTATAATTGAAGTCACGTGATGCTTCTGCGGTAACAAAATAGGATGTTTTTGATCGTAAGGTAGGTTTGATCTTTGGAGCCTACCTCCCACTCTTAATAAGCCGTCATTATCGATAAATGGGTCTAAGCAAGCCAGTTTATTGCCTTTCTTTAGCGACAACCCGTCACTAATCGCGCGATATTCTTCCGAGAACACTTCCTTTTGTACCAACTTTAAAATATGATTGGCAGTATTATTGATTTCCATACAACTTAATTGGCCATAGTTCCTTCCTTGTCTTATAAATCTATAACAATACGATAAGACTCGTACCATCTTTTTGAAGCTTGAGAATCTTTCCCATATTGATTCCTTTGGTTCAGTGCTTACGTAAAAACTGCGTTTTATTTCTTCGCATATTTCTGGAATAGTTTTCGTACTTGGTATTGAATTATTTTTTAGCCACTCTGGGCCATTCCACCACAGATCTAATTGTTGTAATTTACTTGGCGCGATACCTCTTGAGATTACATCGGCAGGGTTCTGACACGTATTAACATAGTTCCACTTGGCCTTGGGTAATAATGTTTGAATTTCAGACACCCTGTTAGCGACGAAAGTTTTCCAACGATCTGCTTCTCCCTTGATCCATCCAAGCGTGATCATTGAGTCCGTCCAGCAATATATATCTATGTTAACCATTTGCATGTCCTTAATAACGTTTTTCATTAATTTTGCGAGTAATAACGCTGCACACAATTCGAGTTTAGGTAAAGTTATTTTACGTTTCTTTGGCGCTACTTTGGACTTGGCTTGTAATAAAGTGACGTCAGCCGAGTTATCACTTTTTATTACTCGACAATAGACCACTGCGCCGTACGCTTTTTCGGAACTATCGCTGAATCCGTGAAGTTCAATCTGCGCATTAGGTGTATAATGACACCATCTCGGAATTGATATACTTTCCAGTGCTTTCAATTGGCTTTGTATCTCTTCCCACCTTTTCTTTATAGAGTCCTCTACAGGCTGATCCCATTCACTTCCATTTGCCCAAAGATCTTGGATGATTAGTTTCATATTAATAATAACTGGTGCCAACCACCCAAGTGGGTCAAATAATTTGGAAACTTCTGACAGAATGAACCGTTTTGTTGGACTTTGGTTTTTATTAACTATGATTTCATATGAAAAGCTATCTTTATCCGGTGTCCACCAAATTCCTAATGACTTCCTGGCTTCGTCTATTGGCAATCTAAACATTTTGTTATCTTGATTATCATTTGGTATGCTCTCCAATAATTCCGCACTATTCGATGACCACTTTCTGAGGTTAAATCCACCGGTCTGTACACACACACAACAAATATTTAAGTTTTTCACGTTGTATGTACGCCAATGTAATATGAGTCCTGTGTGTTTATAATCAAAGTCGATTTTTGAATCACAACAAAGTTGGTTAGAATTTTAACTGGCTTTCTTTGAGAAGGGGTCAAAGTACAATATTATGGTAATTTTTTGTGTCTTGCATTTGATTCCCTGGTCGCGCAAAGTGTTTCTTAGTAGTAGTAGCATATAGTTTGAGATGGTACCCATGATATTGAGACTAGCCGGGGTCACGAGGGTTATGACCATGTCTTTACCTTGTGTCAGAAATTAGTACATATTGTCTAATATATTACTTTGGTCACAAAGTTTGTCCAATATCACCAATATTGGACGTATAAGGCTTAGGACACTTCCTCAGTGGGCAAATACCAAGCAATGGTTTGATACCCAGTTGAAAAAAAGTAATTAAAATGGTTAATTGTTTTTTTTTATCGTATATTTGTGTGTATACACATAATTTCCCTTACACATAGGTTGTACAGCGTGATAATAGCCTTACGCTAAGATCGCGCTGTACAGGACTAAATACCTAATCCTAAGTACTACTAGCTAACGTTATCCTACACTATCCTAGATAATCTAACACTTACAATATCCTATCCTAGATCCCCTAAGCCCAATAACCTATGTAGTCTAAGTTCTATCCTATATTTGCCTAGCGTACAATGCGTATAGGCTTGGTACTCTGTGGTATACTGTGATACAGACCAGCACTTCTACGCACCTACTACCAAGCCCTTAACCTAAGGCACGTACTATAGTGGTACACTGTGGTATGCTGTGATACAGACCTACTCTTCGTACGCGCCTAATGCCCTAGCCCTACAGTCCCTAGACCCTAGCCCTACTATACGTATTTATATATACTTATATAGATAGGTGCAGGATATCTGCCAACTGAGACCTATGATGGCAGACGGAATGTGGGTAGGAATGGGGTATGGTGGTGATGGTTTTCTCACTGCCTGTCGAGCAGACTCACACGACAGATCGGTTGATGGCTAAAGGTGTCTTGGCCACAGTGAGAGGTGGAGGAAGGGTAGTGAGTCAAAGTCGGAATCAACTTAATGACTCCTTTATTGCTTAATCTACATGATCTTATATACTAAACTTATCCTATGTACACACATACCACATTATGATTGTGTGCTATGCGTGTAATGTACCATCTCAGTGCTATATACCTTACGTGATTACGTGATGTTTTATTAGTTTTATATATTTAATAAGTAATATGTTTTCCTTATTTTAATCACGTAGGATTATCTCGCTGAAATGGCACGTTCATGTGTGAACATAGGTAATATCTAACGGGGACGGGGGACAAGTATGTGTAGGTCAAATAAAACATTATCAGAAATACAAAATAGGATTTACCGAAAATCTTACTTTAGATATGTATCAAAAACAAAAGCTTCATAATCTAAAATGTTTGCGGACTTAGATAAATCTTGATAATTACGTTAAATTAAAGTTTTGAGGAAGTTTTCTCAGTTAAGACTTGATCAAATTAACTATGTACAGTGTTCAGTGTTTCTAGTTTGTTCAGTGGTTAGCGTATTTTACTTACGAAGCCCAATATTAATGAAAATTACTATTTTCATACCAAATATGTTTTTCTTTGGAAATGGGCAGACATTTGGCCTCTATCACGCCTGGTGGTAAGCTATGATGCGACCTACGATGAAGCATGTCAAGTCAAAGTCAAAAATTATTTATTCTAATTAGACCTTTACAGGTACTTTTGAACGTCAAAACTAAATTTTGAAGATATCGTGTCAGTCTGTCGGTCAGTCCTCTTAGTGAAGCTATTTGCTCGTTCCAAAGTGTAGATTCCGATGGAGAAGAACGAGCAAGAAACTCCATGGTTACTCTTGCCTACCCATAAGCAACCTATTCACTCGGGCCTTGAAGACACTTGTTTATTTTTGTACAAGAAGGTTTATTACAAAAAGACAGTCTTCCTCATCAGTCTGCACACAATGTCTGCTAATCAAAACCTTCCTTCTTAAGGTTTCCTCGCCATGATCCATCGCCAGCGCCATGGGTATCTAAATAATCTTAGAAAGTACATATAACTCGGAAAAATAAAATTAAAACTGGCCAGGTTTCGAGCCAACACCTGGATATTATATTATTCATTATATTACAAAATTCTTTGTCATCTATACTGATATTATAAAGAGGTAAAATTTGTTTGTATGAAGGGCGTGATCTTTGGAACCGGTGGTCGGATTGCCAAAATTCTTTCACTGATAGATAGCTACAATGTTCCTGAGTGCTATAGGCTACAAAACATCACGCTACGATTAAATGGAGCCGAGCAGCGGGTGAAACCGCGCGAGAATAGCTAGTTATTATATAAAAGCGACCTGCCCTGACCTCCACTAATCAATGGGTATCATTATACATATATAAGTATAACCAAATCTTATTCTTTAATCACTCGATTAAAAAAAACACATCAAAATCCGTTGTGTGGTTTTAAAGATGTAAACATACATAGGGATATAGGGACAAAGAAAGCCGACTTTGTTTTATACTATGTAGTGATTTGCTTTCATCATCAGCCCATAAGTGCCCACTGCTGAGCAAAGGCCTCTTCTCATACAGAGAAGGTTAGAGCATTAATCACCACTCTTGCTCAATGCGGGTTGGCGATTTCAAACTTATAATTAGAAATTATTAGTCCAGGTTTCCTCACGATGTTTACCTTTACTGTATGTCAGTGGTGTCTAAATAATCATAGAAAGTACATATAACTCGGAAAGAGTCACATTGGTACTTGCCAGGTTTCGAACCAACACCCTCATGCATGAGAAGTGGGCTCCTTTAGCTCCGGGCCACCACGATTTGTTTTAGTACAACACGAAAAAATGCAAAACCCAAAGATTTTTTATGTGACATGACGGCTATCAAGCAGACCAATTACCTGGTAAGCATGCGGTACTGCCAACGGACACTCTCAATATCAGAGGAGTTATGAGTACGGTACTGGTATTGTAGGAGTGAGGGATTTAAGGTTTTTTGGATTGGAGATGGAAGAAGCTGACTCATGCAAGCGATGATCCACGTGGGTTTTTTATAAAGCCAAAAAATTTAGTAAAAACTTATTGCAAGTTTAAGTCATTGCACTCTATTCAGGTAGTAAAATAAAAATAAATGAATAATAATTATCATAATGATTATGTCAGAACACGAAAGTTTTTTTCAATATAAATTTATTTATAATGGTCTATTAATAACTCGGCGGGTTATTTACTTTTGATTTTTATTTTTAATTTTTGAATTTATGTTATCGAAATTCTCTTGGTTTCTTTCTGTTGTAGACTGGTTCTTGGACCTGCAAAAAAATATTATTTGTTGCTAAATGTTATTCGTTTATGTTAGTATGCTAATATTTATATTAACTGTTTTTTCCGCATCATCTTTTAGTGCAAAAAATTTCTTAGTTTTTATTTATCTACTTTTATATTTTTCTACTAACTAAAAAACTTATAATTTGACATCATAAGTCCAGGTTTGTTCTCAATGTTTCCTTCATCGTTTCTCAGTGGTGCGTAAACAAACTTGGAAAGTAAACATAACTCGGAAAAAGTCACATTTATACTTGCGAGGATTCGAACCCAGAAGTAGGTAACAGTAACCTTTGAGCCACCACGACATCAAGCCGAATTTAAATATGATGATTTTAATATGATGGTATTGCAACTTATATCCTAAAACAGGTAGCAGATGTTATCTGCGGTCACTTGAGTCATGTCATCAATCTCAGCATTAGTGCAGGCGTTTATCCTGATGCTTTAAAAGTTTCTATTGTTAAGCCATTATTTAAGAAAGGTGATAGGGAGCTAATGGAAAGCTATCGGCCCATATCACTTATTCCTATAATTTCCAAAATATTTGAAAAGTACATTTGCAAGGAATTAAATTCATTTATAGGAAAGCATAAAATTATATGCGAAGAACAGAAAGGATTTAGAATGGGAAAAACAATTAATATGGCCATTTATGATTTTATATATAACGTCACATATAACGTTGATAAAAGGAACCCGGTTTGTGGCGTTTTCTGTGATATGACTCAAGCCTTTGACTACGTGCACTATGGCATTCTACTAAATAAGCTTGAGGCATACGGTATCAGAGGAAATGTCAACAATTTAATTCAATCGTACCTACAAAACAGAACTCAAATAACACAAATAAATCAAATTAATATGAAAAGTAAACATGACATTATATCACAGTCCTCAGAACGTATAGTTTCCTTTGGTGTGCCACAGGGGAGTGTTTTAGGCCCTCTTTTATTTATATTATATATAAATGACCTACCGAAAGGCATCCTTCAACCAATGACACTATTTGCTGATGATAGCACCATAACGATACCTTGTAAAAGTGTTGATACTTACGAATATGACATAAATAATTCTATAAATTTAATGGTAAAATGGCTAGATGATAATAATTTGAAAATTAATCTGACTAAAACTAAATTAATACATTTTAATCAACGGATCAATAGTATGAGTAATTTAAAAGTACATTACGATGGCCAGCACATAGAAGAGATAGAAGCAACAAAATTTTTAGGGCTCCATATTGATAAAAAACTGAATTGGAAAGCCCATATCGAAACACTATGCAAAAAAATCAGTAAATCATCCTATGCCCTGCACACATTGTCATATATAATAGGTGTAGAGGCATTGCTTACAGCCTACTATGGTCTAACAGAATCTCATCTACGCTACGGTATCATATTTTGGGGCAACTCAACAGACAAAGACACGGTGTTCAAAGCCCAAAAGAGATGCGTTCGTACAATATTTAAAATTAAACCCACTGACAGTTGCGTGCCTTACTTTAAAACATACGGAATACTTACGTTGCCATGTCTGTACATTTTAGAGGTAGCTGTATTCGTCAAAATAAATCCACACCGATTCAAACTATTACATGAGATAGTCCCACGTAACAGGCGCGACAACAGTAAGATATGCTCTCATGCTGCGAGAACAGCCCTTATGCGCAAAAGTGTTTTCTGTATGGCTCCGATAATATATAATAAAATTCCCAAAAGTTGGAGAGAACTGCCATTATCACTATTCAAAAATAAGCTTAAAACTTTTTTAGCTAATAAAGTGTACTATAGTGTTATACATTTTTTGAATGAAAACGATTTTTCTCTTCCGACATCTAGTTAAGAATTGGTTAAGAATGACAATTTAATACGAATTGGTAAATCTTGACATAATAAATACTATATACTGGACATAATTTAATTAATTTTTGACTAATGTGCCTCATATGCTTCATACTTATCTTGACATAAATTAACATTTATTTCTTGTGCATTGTGTAATAAAATTGATTATATAAATGGAAATTAAATTACTGTTTTATGTCTATATAATATTTGTACGCCGTTTATCGGCAAAACATGGACGCTCACAACACACTATTAAATTAATAATACCTTGCATGTCTTATTTCATGTATACGCTTGTTTCACAAATAAATTATCTTTCTTTCTTTCTTTCTTTCTTTCTTTAAATATTTGGAATCGAACCTAATACACATCTTATACGATCGATACTCATTTAAATTGTGTGGGTCATTGACAAGACGAGGGTCCTAATACCGGAGGGCCGGACATTAGGCACAATGACCTCAAATTTAGGACCTCTCTTTATTACTTATTAAGAAATTTTATTTTTGTATTAAACACGTCATTAGTTATGGAACTGGTTGCCAGTGGCCGGTTTTAGGAAATTAGGATTTAATTGGTGAATTACCCTTGTTTTTATATTTTTTATTTGATAAATCTTTATAAAAATAAAGAAATAATCTTTACTGACCCGGAAATTGAGTTCAAAATTATTGTTTTCAATTGTTGTATAAAACGTTATAATACTTAGTCAACACATTTTCTAAAAACCCAATTTAAAGTACATAACAAACATCATGATACAATATGTTATGCAACATTCAACTTTAATTTGAAACACCAAATAGTTGATATTTGCTTGAACTTGAACTTCTGTACTAAGAAAAACTGTACTTTAAGACTTACCCGGAATTGATGAAAATGTTGACTATGTTATTCAATGGGGCTTCTACAAATAACCATAAGAGGAGAGAAAACACCATGGACATTACCAGGACTCCCAGGCCATGAAGACCCTGGAAAAAGATACATGATATCAAAAAATCAAAGTCAAAGTGAAAATCTAAAGCAAAGTCAAAGTGAAAATCTAAAGCAAAGTCAAAGTGAAAATCTAAAGCAAATTCAAAGTGAAAGTGAAAGTAAAAAAAAATATCTAAAGCAAATTTAAAGTGAAAGTGAAAGTCAAAGTGAAAATCTAAAATTCATATCTAAAATTCATAATCATTGTCATTGACGATGTAAGATCCAAATTCAAAACATAGGATATATTTTCAAAAGTCTGAGGATTGCATTTTAAAATGTACAGGTTTTTCAAAGTGACCCCATTCCTGTGTCAGTCCTTCGTAGGCTCTTCCGAGACCTTCGAAAAGAGCAAAGTCATAAATTAAATATAATTACTCTTACCTCAGAGTATACCAAGTCAAACTGCTGAACATTCTTCCTGGAGTATAGATTTTGCTGCAGAATGATGGAGTGCGTCAGATACACTCCGTATGCCAGCCGGCTGAGGACTGCAAATCCATGCCAGCTCGCGAATGATCGTAGACTGGCTGAAATGTTACAATCATTGTTTATTTATAAGTAAGGTGTTGTTACCTGATGGTAAGCAATTTTACGCTGCTTATGAACACCGTAGTACTAAAGGAGCTACAAATAGTTTTTCAATCTTTTTGTGGTTAGAGGTTTCAGTATTTTTGAGTTAGAGATTGAAGATATTGACTGCACGGTTGGCACGGTGGCTGGGCAACTGGCTGTCGCGCAACGTGGCTCGGGTTCGATTCCCGCACGGAACAACTATTTGTGTGTCCATAAATTGTTGTTCCGGGTCTGGGTGTGAGGTGTATGTGGAATTCTATGTTTATAACTGCCCACAGCACAGGATACAAAAAAAAAGATATGGATTACTTTTGTTGGGTTTAGGGCCGATTCGTATGATGGTGTTTCGGTTAATCGCGGCTTTGGTGTATTACACAGTAAATAGTAATTCAGACTCCATATTAAAACTGAAATAATTACTTATAAGGTCATTTTATTCGTACAAAATATCAATTTCATTAATTACGTAACGTTATATGGGATAATAATTAATATGATTAATCAAATTGAAACAAAAATAAATTGAAAACGATTTATTATTAAGTTAAATTTAATCGAGATTATATTGTCATGGGATTTCGGTCCTTAGGAGAAATGGTTTTAAGGATTACAGTGAGAAAATGAATCTGGGCCTTACAATACACCCACAGTTTGACCTTTTGCGTAAAACTATAATTGAGCTCAAAATTATATTTCTGGTGGAGTTTTTTTTAAATGAAGGTCTTATTGTCACAATGTCTAGTGTCTATTATATAAATCAGGATAGTGACAACTATTTTAATATTAGTCTTTAAGTACAAGTGTCCTAAGGCTGTTGGGATGCACGTAATAGTTTTTCGACATATTTATCATTCACCATCGTACCATCAGACCATTGGCAAAACATCATTGCTTCACGGTGGATATCCTACCCACACCTCACGAAGTGGTTCGCCTCCAGTTTTATCATCAGAATCACTAAGGAGTGGAATTCTTTGTCGGAGTCTGTGTTCCTCGAAGGGTATAACCTGAGCGTCTTCAAGGCCCGAGTGAATAGGTCGCTTATGGGTAGGTGTGCTCCATCGTAGGTCGCATCATTGCTTACCACCAGGTTAAGCTAAATGCCAGCTCTTTAGTAGAAAAATATAAACATCTACATACATATAGTTATATAAAAAGCTGTTGTGTGTTTATTTACTATTGGAACTACTAGTTCGAGTTGAACAATTCTTTCTGTGTGTGTCAGTCCATTTATCAAGGAAGGCTAAAGGCTATAAAACATCACGCTACGATCTGTAAGAGCTGGACAGCGGGAGAAACCGTGCGAAAGTAGCTATAATATATAATAATGAGACTTACCCACATCCCCATATTCGATGACCCCGATGGTAATGCAAGTGGCTATAGCCCATAGATTCCTGCTGTAGGCTGCATACAGAGCTGAGCTCAAGTGGTTGTACTGCAGGTTGGAGTATGATAGAGGATGCGTGGCCACTGCGTAAGCTATTATAAAGGCTACGACGAACAGGACGAGTGATATTTTCTGGAAATATTGGAAAAGAAAAAGTTTTGTCAAAAAAAAAAGTCAAAAATAATTTATTCCAATTAGACCCTTCAGGCACTTTTGAACGTCAAACCAAAATTTTGAAGAAATTGTGTCAGTCTGTCGGTCAGTCCTCTTAGTGAAGCTTTTTGCTCCTTCCAAAGTGTAGATTCCGATGGAGAAGAACGAGCAAGAAACTCCATGGTTACTCTTTTTAAATCAGTTTCACACACAGGTTCCTTACAGACAATTTCTTGTTACAGACATAGGCTTTATAGAGGTGATTTCTCAATAGTTTATCAAAAACAATAAGAAAAGCATCGTTTTTATGGTAGACTTGTAGCTAGTTTCAGGTTAACAGGATTGCACACAGGATTTTTTTACATTTATTTATTGCAAAAGAATATAACTTATAAAATAAGGGTTACAGTTCTTTTCCAACAAATAAATATTTTTTTAGTTATTGCTCATTCGTTTTGATATGAGTCTATCTACATATTTTAATAAACTAGATCGTTTTAATATTAATTTTACAGTTGAATATAACAATCACTTTCTAAACATTCCTACACATGTCACTGGAGGTAGAAAAAATGTATTATACGCGTAGTTACTCACAAAAATAGATTTCTGAAGGACAAATCACATACAATACAAAATAGTTAGGTTGTCGTGAATTTTAGCAAAAAGAGAACTTACTTATTTATAAATAGACGTGATATTTCATTGATGTATATTTCTAGAATATGCTATGTCGTCAAAGTTCGTCTATGTTCTTTTTTTATTGACAACAATGAAAGTATGTAGACAAGGAATTTTTCGTTTGTTGCCCATTTTAACGTAGTTGTAGGTAATGATAACTTTATGTAGTAACATTAGTAATAGCGTATCATGTAAAATTATTAATGATTTTGACTATGAAAAATAAAATGGCAATTGTATGACAGTGCCACAGACACAAGTCTCATAAAGTCACAAATTGATCAAAGATTTTGAATTTGGATCTGTTATTAGCTTTGACCATAAGAGTACTATCATTTGTTTAACCATTTGTTAAATTTTTAGAATTATGCCTAGCCTTTGATATTATGATTGAAAAACAAACCAGATCTTTCAACAAATTTCTTAAAATTATACCTACAATGTATTTTGAGTTCTAGTTCCACGTACCTTAGAAATAACATTTCTGTAATGCCTTGGTTTATACGTAGTGAGAATGTAGCCCATAGCCATGCCGACGAAGTATGGGCCAGCTCTGTTGTGGCTCCTTATGTAGGTGTCTACGTAGACATCGTTCTTCCTTACATCTATCATGCTCCTGCAAGACATTTCTATGATATTATAAAAGAAGAACATAAAATAGTAAAAGAGGTAGTAGTAGAAAAGGCCTGTTTATAAGGAAAGTATAAGACACCAGATGACGATAGACAATTTGGGTTTACATTAGTAAACAGACAGCACCCGAGACACGTTGCACAGAAGCCAATTGCTCAGCGATTGCGTCAAACGTGCAGACATATGTATCCAATGATGAAATGATCTTCTGTTTAAAGATTCTTGCATTAGCAAAACAATAATAAAGTAAGATACAAAAGCAAGAAAAAATCAAAGTGACATTTCACAAAACTTACTCGAAATCATGGTACAGAAGAATTCCTGGTAGTTTCTTCCAATACGTGACTACTCCAGGAGTTAAAACAGCCAGTACTACAGTAAGACCAGTTGCAGCCTTCCCCATAATTTTCTTCTGATATAGTAAATACAGTATGGTGCCCATGACTGCTAGTTGGTAGTCACATGGAATGTACCAGCTGACTATGAGGCACTGGAAGTGTAACATCATCTTATTAGCCGAGCTTAATGTTCATGGCGCCTAGAGCCGATGTCCAGCCAAGCACAATCATGTACTTTGATCAAGCTTGAAGCAGAACAAGGAACGGGGGCGTTTTTAGTCAATAAGATTGGCGGTAAGAGAGAGAGAGACGGGAAGAGAAAGAGAGAGGGAGAGGCAGACTCTAAAGGGTTCTTTCTATAAAATATATTATTTATCTATATGTATAATCTTAGTTTTGGTGCAAAGCTAGTCAACAAACCTCGTACTGTAAAGGAATTAGATGATTAAAATGTATTGTTAGGTTATATTTAATAATGAAATCAATTTGAAAACTTATCTACTTACAATATTATCAGCATTGAAATAATTGTTCAACATCAGTAAGTTCAGCCACCAGTTCTTCGCACAAGCTTGTTGTTCCCTTCCAGCAAACTTCTGCCAAAACGGTCCTGCACCAGTGTAAAATGATACTGATATTACGTAAAATATCACTACTGCATACGAAGCTGTGAGCCTAGAACAATAAAAAGGTAAAAGAAATAGGTCGGCAAACGCCTAATCGGTTTACTTACTTGATGGTACGAGTTAGCAATCGGCACCGCCCTTGGACACTCTTAATATTTCAAGGAAATACTACAAATGCGTAGACGGCCTTTTGCGGGTTATTAGGGATTTAGGAATACGGGGATTTAGAGATTAAGGATGGGGGTGAGGGGGAGAAACGTCACTTGGACACATGCAAGAAATCCGCGTCCAAGCCAACCTTTTTTGACTTGGCTTTTCGATATGATTAATATTTTACCTAAGACTAAAATGATCACAAGAAAAGCTATATTCTCGACTAGAATTGAGATACAAGTACTCATAACTATAACTAAGTGACATACCTAAAGTACCGACTGACAAGACTGACCAATGGTTTCTTATTCTTCGCCATCAGACCCTGGACAAGAAACAATCCTGAGAGCATTAGGAAATTGTCCACTGGAAGGTCTATGTGCTTCACTGTGTTCAGTAAAGGATTTCTGGTCTCCAGCATCACCTGGAAGATAGGAATATGTATTGTTATATTTTTTTCTGTTACTCAAGTGGATCTTGTATCTTGGATGCCTTTTAGGAGTTGCGAAAAGTATTATTGAGTAGGTTAGTTTTTGAAACTATCGTCTCAAATGTGCTTGGTTTAAACCAATAAGCCACTAATAATATTTACTACTTGAACCTTACAATGTCCAAACAGAAGAAAGAAGATTATAAGCAGACTTCGCGTTAATGTCACTTTGACCTTAGTTTTCACTTTATCTAAAATTATTAGTACTTACATTATCAAAATGCAGTCCATTACTGATAGGTCCCATAACTTCAAAGAATGCTGTATGTGTGGCCACAGCTAACGTTGCAAGACCCACTTTCAAAAGGTTCAATATTCCTATATCGTCATTTGTTTTCCTTGTCAACGTTTGCCAGTTGCGTTTCAATGAGAACGCACATGCTATTGTGTGCAAAGCTGGAAAGAGAAAATGTATTTATGAATGGGACTGAGTTTTTTTTTGTTGAAACTGCTAAAGTCATTTTGATAAATACTTCGACAGATGTAGATAAGACATTATTCAAGAAAAGCATTGATCTTGGACATACAAAAATATCTTGAAGATGTAACACTGTGCAAAAATATAGTTTTACACTAAAAAATCTAAGACTGAAACCAAACCTTAATCTGTACCTGCATTAGCTACATAATCATTTACCAGAAAGACTTTCACATTAATAGCATTAAAGTAATATTGATAGTATTAATTTCTACGAATCCATACATAATTGAAAAGGCCATTTTCATTTGTAGCATTACGTTTTACCTTCAAGAAAATGCTGCAAAGTCTAATGGCAGATTATCTGGATTACATTCCTAATAACATTACTTAGTTTTAAGCAAATGTAAGCAGCTCCAATACATAATTCTCAAGTAAAGTATTTTCTATAAATTTAATAGATTATATTATTAGTGTGGATTACTTAAACTTATGTTCAGATGTAATTACTCTTATGAAACTTACAGGTTTTGGTGTACGATCGTTCAGTATAGTATGTTGAAATGACTGAAGTTGCGACTAGTAGTGTTATTAAAGTCCTGAAAAGGTCAATTTTAGTAAATGTAATAGTAATGTGCTTTTATTAATAAGAGGCTTAATTATGATGGTTTCTTCAATGGCGTACGGTGTGCTTTGCTTTAAATTAATATGTATCTTGTTTTAAAATAGGGTTATTAAAATCACAAAAAAAAAACTATTAAATCAGAACCAGCCAAAACAAAAGCAACTGTAACTACTCACATAAAAGCATAAAATCCAAAACTATATTCCGTAGTCTTGTTAGCTGCTTCACAGGTATCAACAGTGATCCTTGGTACTGATGGAGTCAAAGGGTTGATTTGGTACATAACCTTGAGGATTTTGGTGATGGTATCAGGTTTGCAGGTAGACGGAAGACAGGTTCCCCATATCACTCTATTGAGGTTACGGCCTATAGGAGTTCTGGTCTAGAAAATTCAAAATAAAGAACTTACTTTGAAGCAAGTCTTAATAGAGGTGTCATTGGATTAAAAAGAAGATGAAGCTTCATTTGAGAAGCGATCTTAGCAAGAAGAAATACAGGATAATGATGATGATAATGATGATGACGATGATATTGATTCTGAGTAAGACAGTATAAAACTACAATTTCTTTGTTCAACTGAGCATTTATAACCTAATTTTTAAAACACACACGTTCACAATAGAAAATAAATCATTGCATGATGCAGTAGGTTACTAATTAGAACTACAATGTACTCTTGCTATTGTGTTCAAGTCAACCAATTAAGATTTTAGAAAAAGACAACTTAAATCTGCTCTTTCGTCCTTGTTTTCTTTAACTTACTGTATCTGTGTCAACAAGGCTGGGTGCTTTATGAAAATCAATGTTATATTGAAAACATTATTTTAAATTTGTTTATGAACTAAACTGTAGCTGGTAGTACTGTGATAATAATTGTAAGAAGTTTTAACTTTCGTAAAAGCGTTTTTATTTGCCATTTCCACAGCTTTGACTTTTATATATAGTATAGTAGACTTACGGCAACATAAGGTTCTGTAGAGCCCAACACATCATGTTCTCTTTTTTCATATTCCTTTTCAGTCAGTGTAATATCAGCTAAACAGTACTGAGTGACAATTTTTGGGTCAGCTGTAGTTGTAGGGGCGTTCAGACACTGATCATAGTTACCCAAACTGTATTCCGATCCATAGAATGAACCAACTGGATTGTGCATTGAATTCCACACTGAAAAAAATAAATGTTTTGTAGGGAATAGGTTGTGGTTAAAATTTTCTTGATAATGGATGTTCAATACTATATTTACAAAACGGCTTACTGAATGTATTATGGCTTTAATTCTTCCTTTTTACTTATCATGTACTTTAATTTTCCTTTAAAACTATTTTTACTATTTCTTAAGCCTTTCTTTTCACTTTCATTGACCCTTCACTTCTTAAGGCATTTATCATGCCGTTCTAATGAATAAAATTAACTAGATCTTACCCCAAACTGCCCAAACAGTATAATTTTTCACATTGTTCAATATTTGTAATGTTTGTTCTATGCATGGTGTGTCGTTATCACTCCAGTCCTGTTCCTTAAGACCACTTAACACTAGATCCACTGCAGTAACACCTTGGGTTTGTGAGAGTTCTGCTAAGGTTAGACCTGGAATATTTAATTTTATCTGTCAGTGCCTAGTGAGCCCTTAAAGTCGTATGAGTAAGATTGACTCTAAAACACTCGAAGACCGAAAATTTCCACCAATTTTGTCAAAATACATTTAGAAAACACACTCACTTATAAAATACAGCAGAAAGAATAGAGCCCACATCGTGTCGTATGTGGGTACGCGTAAATGAATCGTTTTCACTAAGCATACTTAAGCCTTATAAATAGTCGTACTTAACATAATTATAGTTTTTATTGCTAAGCCTTTAGGGTTCAAATTTCATGTCGAAATTTTTATTTCTGATTGTCTTTTTCTCTTTTTTCTGTTCGTTTATTTGGATATTAGTATCCGAAATTGGCTAGACTGTCATCTGGTGTAAACACTGGTGGAAAATTCCAAAATGTTTCAAAAAGCATAAATATGGCATAAACTAGTAAAACATTATTTTTGTTTTTAGTAGAAGTACATATATAAACATTCTGGCTTTGATGTGATACACACATAAGTTAATAAGTAAATATTAGCACTAAGTATATTTATATTAAATGTTATTCATAATTAGGTAATCAGAAAAGCTAATACTATATTACATGGAACTAAATTTAATATTTTGTTTATTTAGCTCAGTGGAAATAAGTCAACATCTAAATATAACTAAATAATTGCTCTCTATTACTAGGATAATTGAAAATCAATTTTTTTTAAAGGATATTTAAAAGTGTTAATTGACATGGCCAGGTCCTTGATTTTATAAAATATTTATTACTTTATTAATGTTTTTTTCGCCTTGAATGATAAAGAAAAGGAAAAAATGTGATAATATAGATACCTAGCAGCCAATCGTCTGATAATTGCATTTATGGCATGGTCTTCTAAAATATTTTCTTTCGTTTCAAAACAAAAAAATTTAGAATTTAAAAAAACATAGCCGGAACCCACTCATAAGAAAATTGTGCTTTCGCATTGCGTGTTTGTAACTTTCTTTTTTTGTAAAAACTAAATCCGTTTTAGAATTTTCTAGAAAAAAAATCTTATTTATTTATTAATATCGGCTTTATTAGTGGAGTATTTACCGGGTTTCACTTATATATCCATATAGACATACAATCATACGTTTTTAAAGCTTAAGTTGCAAGGCTTACCCAATAAAAAATTGGTCCTTCGATCCGAATTTAGATTCCCAACTTCCCCAAAGAGGAAATGATCAACGAAAAAAAAAGTCATCGATGAGTCTCTGTCTTCGTCACCACAAATCCAAGTTAAAAACTTGTGACATATTATTTTAGAAGACCAACAAAAGCTAAACTGATTGATTGATCGCTATTCTTGCGTTGATACAAAGTATTTGAGAGTGGGGACCGAGTTCCGCACGAATCTTTACTTACAATTTCTTCTTAAATTTTTTGCGTTACACACGGTGGAATATTTTGGCAGACTGTTACTTGAGATTTTTGAAAAATAATATTAACATTTGTCGCTCAATTTCAGAAAAATATAGGTTCTTTCTAAATCATCTTCATTTATTTTTTTTTTGCTAAATAGAATTGTACAAAATGTAAAAGGACCAATTGTGTAAATATGCTTTTGTAGGCCACAATGTTATGATATTATGATACTCATATTTAATTCTACCGTGTAATGGTTTGAAAGCACGATAGAATCAGCTTCATTTCACCTCAAGATGAGAATAAGAGAGAAAATAACGTCTAAATCTATATAAATTGCAAAAGATATAATTACATAGTAACTTGCAAATAGTGTTTGTATAATAACTGGGGCAAAGCAAGCGTTCTGACGAGTTATGTTAATTACTAATTATGTATGCGGTTTACTGTTTCTTCTATAAAATCTTGCTGTTATTATATTTGGTCCTTCGCTCCGTAAACGTGGTCCTTGCGGTTGAATGTATTAGGTGTCTTTGGGTTTTTTCTGTTTTGTTATGTAGGGTTTTTTTTTAAATTGTTGTGGTTACTAATCGTTTATTTATCAATAAGAAATAACATAGCTTCTACCTTGTTCTTATTCAATACATAAATCATCATATCAAATCCCTAATTCTACCATAACTTTAACTTTGCATTCTTAAGCACCAAATTGTTGACCTGGTCCTTTTTGGTCCTTGCGCTTAGCAGCTGCACTTAGTAGAATGCTGTGTTACCTGTACCACCGTGTACTACAAACGCATTTCAATGACGTCAGAGTTACGTGACGTCATCCACTCACATTTAACCTTTGCCGTTTAGTTCCGTTCCGTGCAATTCTAGTGCTATGTGTATGTATGAAATGAAATTATTTACTACCTACGTAAATGTGTGAGTGGAAGTTGTGCTGGATATTTCTAAGTTGGAAATTGTGGTATATTTTGTACCTATTTGAAAATGGAATTCTAAAGTCGTTGTCTTGAATTTATTTTTGAAGAAATTGGAGTTATAATTACAAATTTTGGAGAAATCTAACAATCTTTTTCGATTGCAAAGAGCATGTTTTTTCAAAATTATTTTTCTTACTTATTACGAAAGCGTTTATTTTTGTTGCCACCAAACAATATCATGTAAGCAAAACGACTTTTAACAAAACATAGATGGAAGTTGCTCAATCTATGATTCAATGGGCTGCCATGAACAACAGCTACCTACCTACTTACCTACTTACAAAATATGATAAATTGACGGAGGTAAGTAGAAATATATATGTACATGGTGTTATTTTGAACAAGGGGCTTATCAAGGACCCAATTCTGGTGCTTAAATAAAACATCTTTTTTAAAAAGACCAATATGAAAATCTAAAAAAAAAAAATGTTTTTTCTCCACGCAAAATGATCAATGTAGCGATTTGTATTTGGAAAGTAAATTTATTTTTGAGCCTTTGATATTGGTCCTTTGGAAAGGTTGTTGTAATTGAGCACCAAAATTGTCTCCTTGAATGTACCTCGTTCAAAATAACACCCTGAATATACATATATGTATAAGTAGGCACGTTTCTTATGTATATGTTGCCTTGGTCTCTCATAAAAATCCCCCCAGCAGAGACCCTAATTATCATTAAAAGGTAGAAGCATCGTTACCAAGAAACGATTAAGAGTAAAAAAAGTATAATCCTAAACTGCAACGGACGAGCCCTAGTTAACGATGGCTGTTAATAAGTTAAGTAGTGAAGTTTTGAGTGTGTTATTCTTAGCTTAAAATAGGTCTGTATTCGAAGGGGTCGGCTCGACCTCGACTTGGCGTGACACCACATTCTCAGAGAAAACCGGCGTGAAACGACAACAAGCAGCGTTGCGTTTCGCCAATCTTTGCCTTTACAAAATCCCTTACAAACCCTGTACAACATTATTACTTTTAGCCAAAAAAAAAATTGGCATCTATACTTACATCATCTGAACAAATCGTTCGTATGTCTCGACAAACATTGGATCCAACACATTGGTCGTGTTGGCCAGCTGTCGGTTTGTTTGGCAAACTTCTGAGCGTGTACCTATTCTCGGAGGTGAAGCCATCAATCTCCAACTTAGCTGCTTGTTTACAAAACTTTCCTTTTTTTTTTACTTTTACCAACTTTCAATACTTCTCCGAGAGATATCCGCACAAGAGTGGAATAATGATTATTATTATTGGTTTACGGAATATGGATAGGATTTTGTGGCCTGTTTTCTCTTTTTTTGTGGGATTAGGTAGAAGGGGTTTTGAAAAATAACGTTATTTTTTTGTCATACAGTGGCAAACGATTTACCTGGTTTTAAGCAATCGGCAGTAGCATGTGCGCTACCAGCCTTTTGAGCCAAATAAGGGTTTTTGAAGATTTTTTAGTTGTTTGAAAAGAGAAAATGTTATATATTATAGCAAATTCAACCAATGACCTATCACTAATGTTCTATTTGCCTTCTAAACAAACATATAAGCGGATTCAAAATTCTGTCTCAGTCAAACTACATTAAACAAAATAATCACTTTCTCTTTCACACACTACATCTTCCCTTTTCAACGAAATAAACCTATCGATACACTGTAACACAAGTTGACCACAACAGCACAGTAGTACAGCATGAATCATTAATCTGTGTCACAATGGAGCTCGGCACTAAGACAAACAAATTCCAGAAACGGAATCCAGTGTTCCAAACGGGATTTTAGGCAAACATCTCTGTTCGCAGCATAAACTTTAATGGGAACATAGTTTTAACAGGACCTGAAGTTTCGAATCGACTTTTAGCTTTGTAGACGAGTTTATTTTATGTTCAGCTTGTGTTTCGCTCCCGGGTTTGTTTGTGTTCCTTATGGGTATAATGTTTTAGTTGTCATTCATAGAGGTTCTTTTAAGTGTGTGAGAACCACTTCGGCTTGACGTAGAGATACCACGGCCTCACAGAAAACCGGCGTGATACAATCACAGCGTGGTGTTTCGCCTTGTGAGTCCCAATCAATCCCCAATCTCTAAATCACCAAAAGGTCGGCAACATACTCGTAACACCGCTGTGGTAGCAGTTGTCAATTAACGGTGCTAATTGCTTACCATCAGGTAAACCGTCTGCTCTTTTGCTAGTTTATCACATAAAAAAGAAGGTGTAAAATACATACTTATATATAATAAACCTACTATACCTACCTTCATACAAATTATAAACCATATATCAGTATATGGTATATATATATCTATATAATATGTGCGGAATGAACATATTATGTTTACTGATATAACGTGAGAAACTAGCAAAATGTTCAACAACATATTATACCATTCAATATAAAATCCCAAGCGTACAGAACCCATTTTCCTAAGTTTAATAGACGCAAAATAGTTTTAATAAAATCTCGGAAGGACTGTAACAAAAGTGATAAAACTCGGCCGGCTGTCGTACAACGTTGAACCTTCGCGTTTTATATTTAAGATTTATTATTGAACAATAAATTTTACGGTGTGGAAACTTTTGTTGGATGGGTAGGTACTGTTAGGTAGACAAGTGTTATGGGAAACAGAATTTTCTTTTATCGTAATTT